AACGGTGCGTGTCTACATCGTAAATGAATCTCCAAGTAATATTTTCCTTATGGAATACTCAAGCTGGTAGAGCAAGGGACTTGCCACGATTTTTTCGCTTTGCAGATTGAAGATTCTCTTTTCATCAAGACCATCTGGGGTCCAATCATCATTGGCTCTTTCCGTCGTCAAGTACACAATTATCAGTTTGTCGATGAAGTCTTTGATTCCTGTGAACTCTTCTTGTATAACCTTTCCGTCAAACGCAAGATAATCATCATCACCCTCTTGCTGTTTGTCTTTAATGAGGGACGAAGCGTGGCGTGACCCAACCAAAACGATGCAGTCCCCCCGGCAGCGAAGTTCACTCCTGAAATCCCCCTCCTCTGCTGAAATTCGGGTGATAGTTCTTACATCTGCTATGTTCCGCAGCCTACCTTGTAAATAATCTCTCAGTTTCCTCGCTTTATTCTGTTCGCTTTCAGTATACAAAAACATAACGTACTTCATCTCTGACTTCTGGAATTCGAGTGTGAGAATGTAAATAAACCGCACGAAGATGCACCGTCAACTTTGGTTCGTAAGTGCACACAAATTCGAATCAAATATGATTTAAATAGATCAGTTTGACTCTCTTCGATAAAGGAACCTTACAGTGAAGCTTTCAACCTTCAAGAACGAGTTCAATAGAGTACTTTCAGAGAACCTATTATATATATACCGGGGAAGTAAGTGTGAAATGGTTCGTGTTTTGAATGCCAGAGGCTGTCGGCTCTAAAAAGTTGTTTCACCCCCGAGCACCTAGTAAAGACAAGTGCGTGCGAATGTTTAATCAGTTTCCGTCAAGGCGTTTGCGGCTCTGATCAAACCCATAATGTTATGAATCATCCCTGATAACTTCGAGAGCCCATGTAACAATGCCATGTATACAAACAGTAAACGCGCCATAATACCGGCTTTGGTTTATTAGCACTAGTTATTTGGTAGCGAGAACCAGTGAATACATGGTTCGCACCTCTCCACCTGCATAGTTTTGTAACAAGAGGTTGAGGTTGTCCACTTTGCGTTTGCTAGGAGGAGTTGACGTAAGATGGCGTAAATTAACTGTTTCGACGAAACTTTTATGTTAACGCGTTAATTCTGGTAAACATATCAGCGAAACATGACCAAACTCTCTAGAAACGAAATATCATTTGGCTTGATCAACTGTTATGTAAGTTAGCCACTGTAAAGAGTTCTTCAAGCTGACGTTTTGAGCGTAAACCCTTTGTCAGACCGACTAGAAGAATTGTAGGGGAAGCGGCAGGAAGGGGGGAACTGACAGCATGGGGGGCAGCAGAAATACTGAATCATCACTGGTCTAATTTCAATGGAATAACGCTTCTAGTTAGTACAAATAATGAGTGATTTATCAGATCAACATCACAAAAAATTTTTTTCACCGGACTTTTAGCCTATCGAGACACATTAATTTAGGCCGAGTTGTTAGAGCTTTCAGATTAGACCTCTATACAACTGTATTGAAAAAAATTAAAAAAGGTACTTTTGTTGCACTTTTTTATTTCTTCGCATGCTACATATGAACACAATTGACGAGAGACCAAAACCCATGATTTGTACTCGGGAATAATAAATAAGCAAGACAAGAAACATACATTCCATTCCTGAGAATCATAATTAGATTATGGCGCTGTGACCGAAGAGTTATATGATGAATTTATTTACTGTATTATTACTTTCATGGCGATATTGAGACAGGCTGACCCGGTTCAGCGTTGAAGGTGGTTAAATGGGGGCTTGAAGGAAAAATTTACGAAAGATCGATTGCTGGTGGCGCTGACCAAAAGGATTGCAGCCTCATAAAATAGTGCACTCGGCCCATGCCATCTCTGACACCTCAATATTTAGTCACTTCGTACTTCGCCGCTGTTCGCCCGGTATTTACTTGAGTGGGTGGCAAAACTGCCTGTTAATTACATTCTTGAAATTTGAAAAAATTGTTTTACTTATGAAGTGGATATGGCTGATAACTTGTGATTCAGGAATGAGAAAAGAAGAGCTAGAGTTGTCGGAGCACAACGGAAAAGTAATCAATAACGAACAAGAATTTCAGCCCGAAGATGGTCACCATCGACAAGATGTGTTTGAAAATGAATATGACGGGGATTTCTGGATAAAAGTAAGCCAAACTAAGTGTCTAAATACCGTTTTGATTGGCTTTAAGCTGAGAGAATCTTGAGCTTAAGCCCATGTTCCACGGAGATGAAACACTCATTTTTAGAAAGTAAATCTTTGGTGAGAGTTTTGGAAACCATTTGCAACCATCTTCCAGTCTCTGAAAAAACCAGTTTTTATTATACGTCGACCTGAATACTTCATACGTTTGAAATTTTTTCCCAAGTTTTGAAAGGCTAATTTGAGCAGTGACCTTTTTAATGGGTTTAAAAGCCAATGCTCAAGTCATTTCATGTATTTTCTAATTATTTTATTGAAGCTTCTGTTAAGATCACAGCGATGATGCTCCGTGGGAAACGATCATTGCCATTAACTTAACTGGCATACATGCATGTTAATAGGTACGTTTAAAGCAGACAAAGGGACTCTCATGGAGTAGAGCCATGGATCAAGTTACTGTTGAACGACTTATCCAGAAGTACAAAGATAACGGGGAACTGGATGATGAGGATCCGGCCCTTTTGATGTTAAAATTGTGGCCAGCATACCAGTACAAAGTTAACCCTGACAAACTGTCAGGTCTTGAACAGAAGGTATAATTTTACAACTATTAGTTATGTGTGGATAATGTCAATTGATGGCATACTGTTTCAAAGAATATGCTGCAATTTGAGGATAAACATGGTAAAGTGGTAAAATAGTGAAGTGTTTGCTATATTGTGCAATATTGATATATCTCTATAGACAAGTGAAAGATCGTTCGATTAAAAACTTTGTATTGTAGTTCACCAATGTAAAGTAGTTGTTGGCATGCTGTCTTGCAGATCAATTGTCTTTTGGAAATTATGTTAGAAAGTGAACTGAATGCCAACAACAAATATGAGATATTCAGAGATGAAGATGACAAAACAAGGAAGACATTGCTGCACTATGCCTCAGAACTTGGATTTTTACAGGTCACCCAGACACTTGTGAAGAAATGTCCTGTGCTTCTAATTATGCAGACTGAGGAAGTTAGGAAAAAAAGAGCCATGTTTGCAGTTGAATTGGCCATTTTAGCAGGAAATGATGAGGTGGCTGCATACTTGATCAGGATAATGTGGCATGAAAGGTACAGGAATTAGAAGTAAATAAAAAATATGCTTCATATCCTCATAAATTGAATGGAACATAAGACTTCATTTTTATTTGTTGTTATTTTATTTTCACTTTGAGTTGAGATTAGAATATTGGGATTATTTTTTTGGAGACCTGCAGTCAATGAGAGGAACCCAGCTCAGCCATCTTTCTTTAGTTTCAAGTCCATTCTGGAGAATCCTAAAATGAAGGTGAGTATTTTGAAGTTTTGTTTATCAACTGCAAGGTGCATTACTTGTTCCCATCAGAAATACCCATCAAATTATTTCAAATCTTCAAAACATTGTTTATCTTAAATTTAGCCATGCAGCTCTATGAGCAACTTGTAACAGTTATATTATTGAACATTTTTAAATGTCCTTAACAACTGAATTAGGAAATTTATAGTTTCCATGTGTATGAGATTGCAACAGAAAACAATACTAGCAGTGCTAGACCAGATGATCAATCCTCACTGGCCACACCTTCCAAAACGCAAGGATAGCTATGAAAATGAAAAGGAAAAGGAGGTAGTAGAGGGTGCCTGGCGCACAATCACAGATGATCCTTTGGACTATCATTTTTATTATCATATTTTGGATGGTGACGAGGGAGGACGGCCTCCGAAAGTGATGATGCCAGGAGGACACGGACAGACAGAAAACAAGTATTTCAACTGGAGGGACAAGTCTTGTTTACATGTCATTGCAAAGAGCAGGAATATGGTAAGGTTAAGGTGTTTAAAAAAAGTAATTATTCTGCATGTGGTTATCCTGTGTTTAGAGAAATGCATGTAGGAGTTATCCAAAATATCTGATTCTCTAGCTTGATATAATGACGGTTGTAGCAAAACTCTCAGATTTTTGGGCTCATTTTCTGAGATGCTTGCTTTTACTCATGTTTACCAACTCATCTAGTTGAAATGTTTTGATTCAGTACAGGTAACACAATGTTTTGCTGTTCTAGTTATAGAAGACTTATATTCTTGCTTAGACATTTCCTCTTTGGTTTCATGATTTTCCAGGAGGCTCTTCAACATCCTGTGGTTAGAATGTTGGTTAAAGCAAAATGGAAAAGTTATGGACACTTCTTTCTCAGGTGCATGTAAACCCAGAGGGAAAAAATTGAGTTACCTAAGATTGTTCCATCATTCAATTGAAAAAAAAAAGAAATAGGAAAGACTATGTTGATTCAAGCTGTTAGGAATGTATTGGAGCAAAAGAAGGGTTTAAATTGGAATTTAAGAGAAGAAATAGAGACTGAGGTTAGAGTAAGAATTCCTGGAGTGTTCCAATCCATCTGCCAAATAATAGATTTTTTTAGATGCCTGGATATGGCATTTAGATCTGTTACTATAAAAAGCTGAAATAAAGTGTAAATGAAAGCATTATAATGTATATTTGTAATGTAAAATTTTTTAACACCAACTTATAATGTTGCTTTTTTATTTCACAGCCTTCAAGCAGCATTGTATGTGATCTTCTTGCTGTGTTTGTCATATTCTCTGCTGAGTGCTTCCACAGCAGGGGACCCCACTCAATATGGGGGTGAAGCAGATTCACTGGGTGGTTTTTGTGAGATTTTCACCCTTATTATGATGGTCTTTTACATATGTGAAGAAATTAATCAAATGAGATTGTAAGTATGCAATTCTAGTGAGTGTGAAATCAGGTTAGAAAACTTTTTTTGCCAAAGCCCACGACATTTTACCATTTGCAAGTGTTTATGTAGGTTGATATAGATTAGGGAAGACTTGGTAGTAGTTTAGAGGTGGAATTAATTATTACTTTGAGTGTTTGCCCTTTGTCAGATTGAGTAGAGGTGATGGAATTGTTAGGTCATGGTAAGGTCATGATAGGGTTAAAAACATAAGAATGAATTAATTGAATGAAAAGTGTTCTTTGCAAACTTTTAATCTGTCTGATTTCCCTTAGAGAGGGGAAGTCGTACTTCACAGAATGGATGACCCTGTTTGACTGGTCAGGCCTGTTGCTGATCCTGTGTATAATACCCTTACGGTATACACAAAGTAAAGCTCAGTGGCTTGTGGCATCTTTAGCTTTCTTGTTCAACTTCCTGAGGATCTTTAAGTTTTCTTGCTTGACAAGGTAAACTGCATCATAAGCTACATTTGATAGGTTTGAGAGAATGTCAGCAAATTAGAACAAGAAAATTATATCTGTGAAACTTACTCACACAGTTGGCTTAGGTTTGGATTTTGGTTGATTTATAATAAGCTGATTTCTAATTAGTGCAATCCCACCATCTTGGCACCTTCATGATCGAAATTTGGAAGTTTTTAAAACGTCTCAACGAAAAAAAGGTACAGAATAGAAAGATTAAAAAAAGC